TTCACGGCTCCGCTCGCTTGCTTTCCGGCTCGCTTGCCCCGCAACCCTGACAGGCTCGATTGAGCTAAAGCACTTCTTTCACTTCTCTGTCTGGTTAGTCAAGATTCCGAAACACAGCATAAGATGTTATTACCTTTTGTGCAAAGATGTTATTATTGTTTGTGCAAGCACGTACAACAGGTTCACTGTTAAGCTTGCTGGTGGATGGCGAATACTAGACTTGGAGAAGCTTGGTGTAGGTTGAAAAAATTTGGGATGCATCATCAGTAGTGCTCCTCTGGCTCATGGGGTGTTTCGGCCTATACACCCTCACCAGAGGCGGCCAGCTATAGGGTGATCAGCCCTAAGTTTGCGTCCCATGCCCAATTAGTCAAGAGAGTCGCCTTGATGTCAGATGACGGACATCTCATGAAACTATATATGACAGCCTAAGCTTGTCACTTAGGAGCCCAGCAGGAGGTATTCCTCTTCAACCAGAGCCACTGGCTGCTTCTCTCTGCTGCCTCTGATGCAGCTTTGATGGCTGCATGCTGGCTCTGTCCCCTGATTCCCAGGTCTCTCAAAAGTTTGACGGTAGATGTTGCTACAAACCCTCTGCATCCAACTTCTACTGGGCGAACTTCTATGGTCCAGCCGCGTTGTTTTGCTTCAGCAGCTAACTCAGCATAGCGTAGATATTTCCGCTCGTATGCCTCAGCTACAGAATCCTCCCAGGGTACGGTGAGCTCAATAATTTAAGGAAGGGGACCATAGCACCATATCAGGCCTCAAAGTAGTAGCCGCAATCTCTGGAGGAAACATCAGTTGTTGGCCAATATCTACCAGCAGTGTCCAGCCACGTGCTAAGCACAGCTTCCCTGTCTCCGATGGTGTTGAGTTTCTCCTGGTAGCCGTAGCCCCCTCATAGACAAAGGGTATCATCCATGGGGGGTTAGATATTGGTGGTGATGAGGAATTGATGGTAGATCGTTTTTTTCTCCAATGTGGACGCAAGGCTCTTTAGGACCAAATATATCGCCCTTGGGTGAGACTGGTCTTGTACCCTGTGAGAATGTGCCAGAGGGAGGCTGGCCTGGAGCAAAGAGCACACCCTGGATCTTCACCAACCCACTGGTGGAGATTGGTTGGTGTTGACAAGATGTCATAAGTGGCTCTGATGCTTCAAATATACAGTAGAACCTCTGGTCACGAACGTTTCCAAACACGTACAAATCAGGATACGATCAAAAAGTTTGCCAAAATTTTGCATCTGTTCACGACCACACGCTCTGATGGCAAACAAAAACACTGGCGGCCAGTTTCCCTTCCAGTTCGTGCACGCCAATGATTTCCCATTATCTCTTTCGCATTTGCTCGGGTGTGTTGGCGCCCGCCTGAGTTCCACCTGCGCCAGTTGCTCCCGGGATAGGTTCCGTGCCCCCTGCAACCCCAGTAGGGATTAAGTGGTTACGATAATGGATGAATGGATGTTTCGCATTTGCTTTTGTTTGCGTATACAGGGCCTAACAAAGACGACACACGTGTTCAGTCTCTCCCTATACATCGTTCTCAGTAAGACGTGACAAAGCAGTGGCGAACAGAGTGATAAACATGATGAACGACTATGTCGTCTCGCATTTCCAAGAAGTTTTAATGCACAGGAAAAGACAAATCACATTAGACCGCTATTTCATGAATTCTGGTCCACCAGCTAAAGGGCTAAAAACACCAGAAACCTCTGAAATATAAGAAATCACAAGAGAGAAAACACCTGAAGGAGAACGTTCCTCCATCACGGAGCCGGACTTTCCCTCAAAACTGTAACCTCCTCTCCACCCAACTTCCTCCTCACTTCCTTCTTGCCAGAACTCGACTCATGCAAGGTTAGTTTTCTTGGTTGTTTAGGGTTAGTTTTTGTATAAATTAAGGATTTTTTTCAAACTTTATTTTTTTCCCCTGTGCCTAAAACTCATAAAAAATTGTTTACAGCGAGCTGTTCGTAAGGATCTAGTGCGAACTTGGTCTAGCACAAGCTTCTGTAATGTTAGTTTTCTCTGTTGTTCAAGGTTTCTCGTGTTTTTTCAATGTTTTTACATTTAGTTGACTATTACACTGTGCATTCTATGGTGTAATTAACTGTTTTTGTGCTTAAAAATCTTTTTAAAATATTTACACACAGTTTATACGGTCTGGAATGGATTAATCATATTTACATACAATCTTATGGGGAAATTACGTTCAGGTCGTGACTAAATCGGGTAGTGTCCAGAGTTTTGGAACAAATTATGGCCATGACCAGAGGTTCTACAGTATTTAATGAAGTCTGTAGTTTGGGTTCCTCTAAGCTTGTGACTGTGCATTTTCTATAAACAGAGCTTCCCTTTACTTTGGGAATAAGCTAATGGGTGGCATAGTCTGCTGTATACCAACAGGGCTTTAAATTTGTATGAATTATAGTCAAATTTAAGGTATTTATGTGCATTGCTGGTAATGCATGTTTATAACAGAAATCACTGCTTATCACCCTAAAAGTGCTGCTATATATACTCTGCTTACAGACCATCCTGGAGGCCAGTACACTCCCCACCCTCTCCAGTACACGACCCCTGAGCCCGAGACCCTTGACCTGGATCTTCTGCCTTGGGTTCTCCTGCCTTGTGTCGCCCTTCTCACTGGTGCCATCTCATCATCCTGCTGCTATTTCTGTCATAAGCAAGGTCAGAAATGTTTGATATCACTGTGTTTTGTGTTCCCTGTCTGTTTGGTCCATTTGCGACTGATTTAGCCCCAGATTGGGCTGTAGTAGATGTGCAGTCTGTGAGGTACAGACACTGTACTGCAGGAGGCCAGTGAAATACTACTATTCTTATTGCTTCCTCATTTACCCGGGTAGGCAGGGAGGTGAGCCCCGAGCAGG